GAAGTCGTCGGTTGTTTGCCAATGCATAGGCTCCGTTGGTTACGATACATTTTGTCTATGTCTAACGGTGGCCCATCGCACCGCACTGAATCTGCACTGGTTGCTGCAGACTGGAAAAAGCCACGTGGAGGCCAGCAGTTGATGCAGAGAGGAGGCATGAAGAAATACACAGTGATTAGGTGCAGTAGGTGTATCGCGTCTTCCGAGTTGAGAAGATTCGTAACTGGATAGTTGGAGACAATTAAGGTCTTGATAGTAACCTGACAGCAGTGGTGTTCTTACTGTTACTTCTTTTCAGGCCGGAATGCATGAAAACGAGCCTATGCACAATTCGACTGTATATTTATTTCTTGTGTTGACCATAGAGGTTCGCTTTCTTTTCCCGTCCCTAAAAGGTCCAATCCGTCTTCCTTCGACATTCTGACCTCCCTTGTATGCATTGCGAGTTTGGCAGCGATCAGTGAAGTTCGTTTCACTGGATTATGCTGTACGATGAGTCGATGGGTTCAGAGTTTAAAGCTCGAACGGGATGGCGGATATGCACAGCTGGTGAGTTCTAGTAAGACAGCGAAACTCCAGTCTAGTGGTCTCCGAGAGTGTACGGTTGATCAAGTGCACTGAGAGTTGTGACTGAAGTCCGAAGAATGATGATTTCAAATCAATCAATCAATCATAAGCTGTCGTTCATATAGCAACGGAACAGCACAAATTCTTCTGTGCATGGTTCAAACATGCTAATCCAAAGATTATGTAGGAACAGTTCGGCTCCAAACAGTCTAAGTGAAAAGCCTGTTGTGCAACCGTACCTCTGACGATACAACTCGCCATCGAAGGCGATGTTACATTCTATTTGCACAAGTAGAGCAGTTTCCAGATTTCTTCAGTTTGTAACCCGAGATCGATGAAGTGGCACAGGGACTCGGACTTTTCCCGGAGAGGCACACCGATAAACAAAGATGCAACATCGATTGAGCACATTTTTCTAGCTGTCAGGTTCAGAGATTCGATCGGATCCTCAAACAAACTCACAGCTCTCACTCAGGCTGAAAGTTGTCCATTTACCTGATTGGTTTTAATCACTCGGTCAGCCATTTTGCCAGATAAAGTGAGTGTTGTTCATATCCACGGAGTGGGAAATCCTGTTTGCATTCTAGGTAACCCGTAGAGTCTGGGTCGAAGTCCCCATTGGTCGTATTCTTTCTAACATGGCTCAGTTGATGACATCCTTTTTGTTTTTTTCTTGGTGGTCTTGTCTCGTTCACACCTAGTGCTTGTGAAGCTCGTTGTTATCTCACGATAAATACTGGACTTCGAAACAGCAATCTTGTCTTTCGTTTCAGAAATGCGTCACCAGCGTTTCGCCTGAGTTCTCTTAACATCTCAAACAGTCTTTGGAGAAAAGTTCTTTCATTTGGGACATAAAATCAAATTCATCTGGTAGTTAGATTAAATGGGAATTCAATTAGTCAGCGTTCAACGTCCATGATGACTAAGGATCGAACGATCGGCGGAATGAAATCCTCAAATTGTATTTCCAGATTCATTCACAATTTGAAGACAGAAAGCTGCAGACCAGGTGAAAGCACTTATCCATGTTTACCGAGAAATAATTGTAAACACTGCGAACGGGTTGCGATGGGAAGTATCTTTCATGCACTTTAGAATGACCCCATAAATTTCTCTCGGTGTTTTTCATTCGTGTTGTCTGACGCACGCGAGATAGATAGATAGGTCTGTTCGAAAGTGAAGCAACGGGTATCTGTGAAGCATTTGTAGGTTTGTATAGGCAATAGCGTTCACACCGAAGTCATTTTTCTGTCCAAATAATAATAAGCAAGCCTTGGTGAGTCTGTAGAGACGTGATTTTCCTGACTCCTTTATACTCAACAGATGGAATGGTTTAGAATGTAGCGAACACTCTCATCTCGTCAGTATTGACTGATCTAGACCATGATGAGTTAAGAGGTAAACAAAGAGAACGGAACAGATTTTATTAACAACAAATTAACATTGATAATAAACAACATGTAAAGTTTGTATACACTAATAGTCGATTGGTCTGCCTTTGGGAACTAAAGAGAACAAATTAACACTAATAATAAATAAGATGTTAAATTTGTGAACACTAATGGTTGATTGATTTGTCTGTGTTCTTTTGAACTGCTTCGGCATCTTCCCGTTGGACAGACGACAACGTTTTCCTGCAATGTATTTTTCAGAGTAATAAAACAGTTAACTTCGAGGAGTAACATTTTTTGTTTGTTTACTGCACGCCATTTTGAGGGTTTTTGTCATTTTCGTTTAATTTTGGGATTGCAAATAGGAGAGGACACATTCGCGCCACTGACTTCGGTTCGACGCCATATCCTGTAGTGTCTTCAGCCAAAGACAATCTGAATCTTTGAGCCCCCAGCTGGGGAACCTCAACGAAAGCCAGATCCGAGTACAATCTCTTTGCCCCTCTGCGCCACGTCATAGCCTACCCACCTCGTTGTTTCTTTCAGCCTGGACCGATGTCTGCGAATAGTGCACGGTGTGGCAGACAGTGCTCAAGCATTCGTAGGACGTGCCCTAGCCACCTAAGACGATGTTGTGAAATTATTTTGCTCGAAGGAAAACTATCTGAACCTAGCACCCGCCGTCTAACTTCATCGTTAATCACGAGATGCTCTCACCATACGCGGGTGATGTTGCGCAGACACCAGTTGTCGAAGACTGATAGTCGCTGGACGTGATCTGCTTGGAGAGGTCTCGCAGCCATAGAGCAGCACGATACGTACCGTTGAGCAATACACACGTCCTTTCAATGAAAGAAGTATGTCGCGCGGGCGCCAGAGATGCCGCAGATTAGCAAACGCTAATCTAGCTTTGATTACGCGTTGAGAGATCTCGCCCATTACTGATACGGATCTCCCACTATTCATGGTGCCTTTGACTGATGTCTACCGACAAGGCTGACCATGTTTTATCTCGACGTTTGAGGAACTCTTTCATTTGGTGGAATATATATGTATATATCACTGGAAAACCTTTTTCATCATTCAAAGCTCTGAAAATGATCGAAAAACCGGGAATGTGAGTCAGTTACCGCAATGAAATATTATTTCTCTGGATATTACAGAAAAGTGCACCGGAACATCAATTTTACAGTCACACTACTGCATCTCCTTTTGGCACATTCTTTTGTACAACTGTGGTCCAGAGTTGCTGCGTGAAAGTTCAGGTAAAATCGAGAAACTTTGTGCACCCATGTGGGTTCACATTGTGTTAAATAACTTGTGGATACAGGAGTCTTCGTGGGACAAAGAAATCAACCCACTGCACTGACCGATAGAGCTTACTTCAAACCAAATCATTGAAAACCAAAGCACTTTGGTTGGCAAATCGCAAGTAAAATAGATTTCCTTCCATTGGTGTATCCGGGTCAGACACAGTAGTGAGTAAATAATGACCACTGATCGATAATGAAGTAGTAAGACACGTGACCGTCTGGGACAAATGTCACTGGATGAAAAAGACAACCAGAGTATCAAGCAATTCCAAAGCCGCTGTAAGTTGAATACAGTGTGGGGTGAGACCATAGAAGGAAAACGATTATTATTTATTCAATGCACGCTCGACAAGGTTTAAAATCAGCCTGATTCCTACGCGTTAGCAGTTAACAACCGATTTGTAGTTAGCACGGGAAGATAATTTACCAGCCGTTTCAGAACACCCTACAATTGAGTATATGCATCCGTTCAAGAGAGTATGTACGTGCAACCTGATGTACGCGAGACTGTTTCTATCGCATCTGTTGTCAGAGATGACTATCTCAGGTCTAGTGATAAGTATACACAAAGTAAATACCTGCCGCCCAATAGCTCGTGAGAGATTGAAAACACGAGCGGCACGGTATAGATCGTGAATTAGTGCGAACGGAACCGTGGCACAATGCACAGGTAGAAACGTGGTTTCCAGGCAAGCAGACTGGTAGAGGGATGGATGGACACGGACAAACAAATTGACTGGTGGGGATGAACAGACCAGAAACACGTTGCCAATAAAATAGATGAGACATAATCGCGGCACAACTCATGTTGTGGGCACCGGCCAGACCAAACCCAAGACCGATTTGTGCCCGGTTGGACCCTGTACAGTTTTCATCTCATATCAGTTTGGCAACGTGATTGTGTCAAGTTTTGGCCCCGCCAAAATGAATGAGAAGTGAATCTGTGTCCACACCTTCGAGTTTGTCACTAGGGCGAGATAAGTTCGACTGTGAACCACTCTTCATCGTCCCTTTGTTCATCCCTCCCCATCCAAGGGATAAGGAGAAACAGTAGAAAAAAAGATGACCAGTGTTTTTTTTCTCTTGAGCAGTGATAANGGAAGGCGAATGGAGTGGACTCGAGATGAGGGGTATGTATCTGTGGGTTCTGTGGTTGGCTAGTGAGACAATCTAGTCGGCGCTATCATCGTGATTATGGACATTGCCACGACCACCACCATCATCATCAGGATCATCATTCATCTCTGGCACAAAGTGCTTTGTATCCGGTTCGGTGGTTAAAACCGTGTCAAGCCCAAAAGCGTCCTCGTCGTTCGCGTGCAGAAGAACCGTGCGCAACAGATTTGAAGGGACCGACAATCCGGGCCCAGTGGGAGACTGATTGCTACTCCAGTTCCCCTCGGGCAGTTGGGCGGAGTTGTGGTAGGAGAAATTTGGTCCGAATGCCAGCAGGCTATCTGTAGCGTCCAACTGAAATAGATTGGAAAGAAGCACCAAAACTGGTCAAGCAAGTGAAAAAGCTAAACTCGTAACATTAATCTTGTTCGGTCAATTGAGAACAACCCACAAAGACTTGTGGCTTTATCTCGGGACTAAAGATGACCGATAGAGCATAAACAATAGTGATGCAAATCCAGTTGTACTGCAAGTGTGACCCAGCTATTCCGTGCACATTAAACTGCACTGCACTCACTCTACGAATCGGTACCAGCAGGTCAGGCGAAGCAAGTCATAAATTTGTGATATGATTGATGCGCATGCGGTCGGGTATCATCACTTCATTTGTGAAGAGAATGGCAATTACATAAATCTGATTCGAAAAAAGGGAGAAATTTGGTGATTATTGCAATCTGTCACGTACGTGTTCAGCTGAGTGAGGGAATATCCTACTTGTATCCAAATAAACCTTGGTACAGTGGGGAAAAATGAAAACTCCCAATCGAATTTGCATACATGCATGAGCTCTAACTGCGCTTATTTTTTTACAATTATATACGGCTAGTATCCTGTCGATCAGAGCGGCAATACCAGCTCTTTAGCAAGGAGAGGAGTACTTCACCAGTTCCTTAACTGAAACTGAACTGTAGGGTGCACGATTGATACAACCACAACGACCCCTGTTTGCCTAACACTCAACAGGCCGAAAAATAGGAGCGGATCAAATGAGGGGAGTAAGCAGACTGCCCACGGTCTGTAAGGCCTATAGTATCACTCGAACGAACAATGGGTATCGAATTCGAGTTTACAATACTTCTTTCGCAAGAGGTCACCACCAAAAGCGATGTTCTTCAGGGTCGCCCTCTCTCTATCGCTTCTTTCCCATTCCGCTTAGTTTTAAATTTGATTATGAATGTGCCTCATTCTCGTGCGAGGATAGCGGTATCGATTTACTCCTAGGTGATAAACTGTTGGAGCTGGAGTCTGCAGACTACATTATACTGATGAGCGAATATTCAATTAGGGTGCAATTTTTCCGGATAGCTCGAGTGTAGCTATCCATGTTCGACGTGTTTTGCAACTTCAAACGTGCACATTTTGATACAAAATTTGGCGGTCGTGACCGTTGCCACAACCGTTAGGGTGTGGATCGTACGCCTCTTCATGGTTGGTTTGGAATCAGGTTTTTTTTTGGCAAACTCTCCTAGGTGAACTGCCAGTGATCCACCGACCCGGTTTCAGGCCCGGATGTCCGCTTTTCGTCCTCTCACCCTGATGGGAAAAGATCTCCACAACACGAGGAGGCAGTGAGAAGAACTTCCTCAGCAAAGGCTATTTGAGACGCTTGGTAGTACGGGAGCATTTCACTAGGTGCAAGGGAATGATGACCAGCCGCAACCCTAGACACTCACCCCCGACCATACAGGGGCTTTCGCAAACATTTAAGGAAACACGACTGCACAACCCATCCCTCTTCCTCACACATACTCCAGTAACACGCGCGCAAACACACACACAGGTGTTTGGGGAGCGCAAGAGAGGACGGGGTTTCGGTCAATAAACTTATACGCCGGGTCACCCACATAAACGAACTGTATTGATTTTAGTGATCACAGAGATACTCGAGTGTTACTGTTCATCCTATTTATTTCAAGTTCACAGAACTAAGCGACAGAGATGCAACTTGTGAACAAGATTGGTTAGAAAACAACTTTGCATACTAACTAACCAAACAACACGCAATTCGTTCAATACAGTTGATTGGTCGAACGACTGCCCGTACCAATTTGTCTAACTGGACAGACTGTGATTGGAATGGGAGACAGGAAACATGACAACAGTACTACGGTGTCTGATGGTGAAACAGAAAACTATCAGAAAAGTCGTTGTACTGTGCCCAACTCGACTGCAACAACGGACAGCGGAGCGGTAAAACCATGTATGATGAAGGTGTGTAAAGGGGGGGGGGCGGAGAGGGCCCGAGTTTACCTGTTTGTGTCCTTTTGTCAGGACAGGAGCAGGATGAATAGCAGAGTGCAGGAGTTTGTGAGCAAAACTCAGTCTGGTCGTGGAACGCGTGTGAACGAAATGGGAGAACGGATTGAAAAAAGGTAAACGGCGATGATGTCATTTGCCAGCTGGAATGTNTGATCTGATGAGTTTCCAACTCTCTTTCCCAGTTTCAAGAAGACCAGAAAACTGAGATTGACCTGGATTTAAGGTGCTGACAATCTACTGGAAATGATTCACTTGGTATCATCAATGAACTGAAGAAAGAGTTCGAGCCTCCTTGACCATTGATCATTCTTGTTTTGACCGAAGCAAAGCGGCAATCCCTTCTTATGCCAACCCAGTTGAAAGATTCCGACACCTAATATCCGTCTGTGATAGTAAAGATGACTTAAGCATCAGTAATGAATCACTGCTCAGCAAAAACAACAACAACAACAACAACAACAACAACAACAACAACATCATCATCATCACCATCATCATCATCGTACAGCGAGATACAGTGAAGCGAGCTTCACTGATCGCTGCCA